GCTATTTGCTTAACGGAAGAGATCCGAGTTGGTTTGACCTCTGACCTTCATTGGGGGAAGTCCGCTGTAGTTAGCAATGAGATAGTTCATTGCGATGTCCTCACAATTCATGTGGACATCGACCCACTGGCGAATTGCTCGGGGCATCATGTGCGTGTATTGGTAGTGGTAGAACTAAGAGATTGGGGGGGGGGGGGGGGGGGGTGGGTTTTTTCTTTTTCTTTTTTTTGTTTCTTTTTTTTTTCTGTTTTTTTTTTTATTTGTTCTTTATTTGTTTTTTTTTTTTTGTTTGTTTTTTTTTTTTTTTATTTTTTTTTTTTTCTTTCTTTTCTTGTGTTTTTTTTTTTTTTTCTTTTTTATTGTCTCTCCTTTTTTCTTTTTTTTTTTTTATTTATTTGCTCTTTTTTTGTCTTTTTCTCTTTCTCTCTTTTATTTTGCTTTTTCTTTTTTTTTTTTTTTTGTTTTGTTTCAATTTACTTTTTTTTTTTTTTTTTTTCTTTTTCTTTCTCTTCTTTTTCTTTTTCTTTTATTTTGTTTTTTTTTTCTTTTTTGTTTGGGTGTTTTTTTTTTGTTGTTTTTTTCTTTTTTTTTTGTTGGAGAGCTGAGGCCCTCAGAGTAGAGTAGGTAGAGGGTGGAAGGAGCATAAAACGTACAGTATAAATATTAAGTTATTACAAACACAAAGGCAGCCATTTCTAAAAAAGAGCTAATACTTGAGCTATTGCAACACAAGTGCTAAACAGCTGTATTAAGAATTACGTTTAGCATAAGATCATATTAGACAACTAGGTACTGTAGGCTCGCTTCGATCACCAATTAGTAACAGAAACAGTACCAAAGTTAGTAACAGCGACATCACTACCTTATGATAAAAGGCAGCGCCTGTCAGAACGAGGCTGATGTTATTCAGCCACTCGGACTCGTACCTCCATCTCTGCGTCTTGTAGTCCTTCACGTGAACCCGTCCTGGAAACCCGACTAACCGGTTTGGGAACTCCTGCCACGCCTGTTACACAAGAAAACATAACAACATGCTCTTAAACTACCAAAAAACTATGACTCATGAAAAAATAATAGTAAGAGGTCGTTGTCATGGCGACCTTGTAGCCAAATTCAAGCTCGTCTGCGGTGATCATGGCGATGTCATCGTCTACTGCCAGTATACAGGCCGTCTGGATCTCAGGATAAGGGTAGAATCTGTGTAAAATGAATTAATCATTTTCATCCAATTTTTGACACATTCATAGGTTATCAATTAAAATTGTTTTACCCGGAAAGCGGTACACATTAGAGTGAAAATTGCTATGTTGGAAATGTAAGCAGAATACAACAAGTTGTGTACATAATTATAATACCAATCTATGTGTCACTGGATATAATGGCACGTTGATTTATTGGCGCCTAACGCATCTAATGGTTGCTCACTCACCGATTGCTGAGTTTGTTTTCCTTGCTGCGAATGACTTGGATCTTCTGCCTGATCCGAGGCCATTCCTCTGCTGCGGGAACGGAATGTAGACACCATTCATATTGGTCCACGGTTTAATTATTATACGTATAGCTACAGTAGGGGATATATGAAGGAAAAACCTTCCTCCTCGAGAGAATGAGACAGTAACAGCGGAATAAAGGTTTCCTGTTTTTTTTGCTCCATATCAATCTACTGCAACATCACCTTTAACTGTTTAACACATCACATTCACTCAGTTTATTTCCTGTACGAAGCCATCTTCCAATAAGTACACTTTTTCATGCATCTTAACCGTCTTCCACGCTACGTACTTATCTTCTCTTATCTTATCTTATCTCATCTTATCTAGCTCTTTGGTTTAAAATTCTAATAGAGACATGCTTTAACTTGGTTAATACACATCTTACAACTGATGGTATATATGTTGGGGACCGATTAAAAACCAGAGGCCCGTTTTAAAGCCGTCGGACGGCTTTATACTCACATGGCGGGGGTATCTTCTTCACATTGTTCCATACTACTAGGACCTGGAATGATTAAGTCGGAAAAAGAAAAAAATTTTGCCTCAAGACAGGTGGTCTCATTATACAAGGCCACGAAATTCTGGATTCTACAAACCCACTCTCATAACCCTATTACATTTTCGCCCCACTTACTACAGAATTCTGCTCACTGTGAACAAATTTTTTAGGTCCACAGCAATTCAGATTCCATAGGTCAAACAGTGAACAATTTAGAAATGTTTTTGTTTTACTTCTACAGTTGTGCTAATAGTAGGTGCTGCTGACCTTAGCTAAACTGGGAGCTTTAGAGACACTCTGAATCACTTTGAAGAGCATTTCGATGCGGTCGTAAGCGAGAATGACGGCAGTGAAGCCGTCGGTAGGGGGAGGAGCTGGGAGGTCGAGTGGGAGAGGGTAGTTGAACTGTGTGAGGAGGAGGAGGGAGGAGGAGGGAGGAGGGACAACCCATAATGCAGGGAGTTCAATAGTGACACGGCTGGCATATTACAAATGCTGAGCCTGAAAACTGGGCCAGAGAAACTAAAGCTAGTACCATAGCAGTCAAACTGTCCTGATGTCTGCACCTCCCACTACACCATCCCTACCTAGAACCTAATTCTATTTCGGTTGACCAGCATCCACAACGGCTTTTAAGTCATTACAACATTTTGGGCTACTAATGACTTAACTCTTGATTTGATTGATTTTGAGGTACATTAGGCGGTTTGGAGAAAAACCAACCTTGATTGCTTGCACAACCAGCATATTACGTGATTTGCTCATTGACAAGTACTGTTCCCTACCTCTGTGCCTAAGTAATGATTTGCCAAAAATGGTAGGGTCTTAATTACTAGAGGGAAACCGCATTTACACGAGGGCTGTTTAAATTGAACACCACAAGGGTTGTTTGAGAGGCTATAAAAGCAGAGGCTGCCTCACAGAGTCACACAAGCAGAAACTCGTCGAAGAAGCCCCGAAAAACCAAAGGAGGAAAAGAAACGATGAAGCCAGTTGGAGTCGCATATCTCCTCTTTCTGGCCCTCGCGGCAGACGCAATGCCGAACTACGGCTCAAACACGGAAACCTGCAAGAAGCTGACAAGTTGCCTCAACTTTCTTTCCAATAGCTCCCTACCAACGCTGTGCCCTCGTTATAACAAGGACTTCGTTTTCGTCCAAGACAATTGCGCCAAGTTTGATCAATCCATCACAAGTCTAAAGGAGTCCATGGCGAAATTCTGCGATCCGAAAATGTACAGTGAGTATGATTATGATGCGGTTTGGACCCCGCTGGAACCGATGGACCTCGGCAACATCGATATGAGTGTGACAACTCCCCAGAATTACAGACTCCCTCAGTCGGTTCCCGGCACAGCTAATGAGGTCCTCATCTACGTATGGATTAAGGTACGCACACGTATGTACAACGTATACTTATGTAGCACGATTAGAGGGGATATCCATAGCATGAAAAGAGTGGGGCTTTATTTTGATGATGTCTTTATTTTGCACACAGAGCAGTATTGACTGATTGTGCAAGTGTGGAGATATTGTATACGTAGACCGGGGAGAACTCCTCGCCTTTGCATTTCGTAACTAAAAATATTTGTGCAGGCGACGATATTTCAATCACGACACCAGAGATGATTTATAACTTGCTGCTCCCTCCCTCCTCCCTCCTCCCTCCTTTTCTCTCTCACGATTCAGGTTGGCTACGCGTCTAGTGGAAAAACGACAATCAATTTCTACACCGAAGACGAGACGGGGAAGAAGTTCTCCAAGTACATGACAACCGAGGCCTACCCCCAAACGCCCACACCTATACCACGGAGAACATGTGGTTTCCAAAGACGTCCGACCACGTGTTTCACCTCAAGGTGGACACGCCGTGGGAGGCAACATTGAATCAGTCATCCAAGTCATCGGATATCGCTAAAACGAAACACTCCCCCTACAATTGACTGCAAACTCATTATTTTGCTGTAGATTTGAACTAGGATTATGTACAAGTCATAGTCGTACGTAGCATTACTTTTTGTTGAAAAATGCATTGCCAGGGTGTAAACCAGAGGTCAGAGGTCATACTATATGGTACCAAAATCACATCACAGACAGTACAGAGCAAGATCAACTTAAAAAAGATAAAAATTATTGGTTGCCCTCTACCCATATGCAGGTATAAAAAATATTGTAAGTTTCAAGGGTAGTGCATACGATTTGGTACCAAAATAACGTCAGCGCACTATCAGGAGATGTTGCCAAAATCATGTCAACGCACTATCAGTCGATGTACGTAGTAGAAAAAAGACGGTTAACTCATTTGGGGCATACCGCACCAAATGTCCCCATCGCCCAATGCAAAATCGAATGTAGAACTACTATACCAACTACATGATATCACATTATGTATGTGTATATTATGGTTACGTGTAAATACCTGCATTCTGTCAGTAAGTGTTGGGTTGTACGGTGGATTATTCCAGTGCTAAAACAACAGATGGGATAAAAACAGGATTGATTCCTTGTTACATATAATTATATCCCCTTTAAGAAACGTACCTCGTACCCATGAACGGCAGAGGGGAAAACCCTCTCGTTAACAATATCAAGGACAGTGTTTACTATGGTTGCCATGGAGAAGAAGTAACGGCGGTAGAGATAAAGAACCTGCAAAGAGGCAAAAACCCACACAACAAGCTGTACTCAAAACGCAGACCAAATTTTTTAAAAACACAAAATCACTGCACGGAATTCAATTTTTACTGGAGGTGCAAGGTGGGGGAATGAAGTTTCGCAATTTCAGACCCACCTGCGAAAAGTGCGTCATCAAACTCTGTAAGCACGCATACGTGCGTATCGAAAATTCTGCATTATTTGCTAAGTTTTTATCCATTGAAGGTGCCCAGCCATACAGTTAGTACAAGAGACCTGTTCTCTCATTTCAAAGACTTTCTTGTCGGGAAGATCTCTCAATCGGCTCATCCCTTCCTCCCAGAGCCCCTGCCACACTCTGATACTGGCTCTGGTCCAGTCCAGTACCTCACTGAATGGGAGGACGTGATCGTCGTCTATTACCACTGGGATGCACCCCTGGGGTGGGAGGGAGAGATGGGAGAGAGAAGATGGGGTATGAGGAAGAGAGAGAGAGAAGAGAGAGAGAGAGGGAAGAGGGAGAGAGATGGGACGGTTTTTACAAGAAAAAAGAGCAGCTCTGGGTGACGGTGGGATTCTACGACTCACGGTCATCATTGCGTCTGTGAAATCCGGAGTGCCATACCTCACTCCTGGCACAAGCAAACAAAACTTGGAACCCTAACAGAAAGAGGGAAAAAGGTTTTTAAAACCTTGAGGAGATTTCTAGTCCTACCAGGAGTACGGATGGGTAAGACACGATGGCGTTGCTAGAAGCTCGACATCTCTTCAGTGCCAGCTCACCCGATACCTTCTTACCAGCTGGACACGGCTCAAGCAAGACAGCATCATAACTCCTGCAAAATCAAAAATTTGCACACCACACACAACAACACGTAGCTAATATATGCACACTATATAGCTAATATATGCACACTATATATAGCTGGCAATATAGTACTGGGCATTAGAAATGCTGGGTATAAAACTGGTAAATTAACTCTCGCACCTTTCGAGATCCAATAGTTTTTCTCTGAAAGAGTCCGGCATCTGTTCTCGACCTGGTGATAGGACCGTGAGCAGTCGAGATCTTGAACTAATGATGGAGGAAGGGGAAGAGAAATATTTATGGTGCACTCACAATAAAATAATAATCATTGGAAATAAGGACAAACTTAGCAAATTAATAATGGTGATATCTATAAAACCACAGGTTTTCTCCCTTAAATCTTCCACTGTTTCGCATGCGATATGGCGGTCAGACCGGCACCATTAGTTACCTGGTGAAAGATGAAGAGTAGAGCTCCTCTGATCTGGTGAGGTAATTGAACACCGGTATACTGAGGTCGTATCCTTGACGATAAGATGCAAGGAAGAATCCCCCACCAGCGACCATCGCCTGGAAATCAATCAAAAGTTACAGTTACAGCGAAACCATTGTTCTTCATACAGAGGTGTCCTCTATTTGAGGTTAAGAAGTGTATTAGCACGAAACAAGTGTAATTTATAGAGAGACATGTCCCATAAATCAGTGTCCTTAACAAACGTGTTCCACAGTAATCACCATTGATAATTTCACGTGCATACAGAGTGTGGCAGTATAATTATAAGGGCTAAATTAAGAAATGTTACTAAAAATGGAACTCAATTGCATTCTTTCATTGTGCCCCTAATTTTGTTCTATCTTTAGTAAAATCTTGCCCTTATAAACTGCCACACTCCCTTTAAGATTACAGTGGAACCTCCGAGATAGGGACCCTCCGAGATAGGGATGACCTCTCTACAAAGGACACTCGTTTCAACCCCATGCTAATACTTTAGTGTATCATTTAACCTCCGAGATAGGGACGACCTCTCTACAAGGGACAAAATCGTTGGTCCCATAGTGCCCCTTGTTCGGAGGTTCCACTGTACACATTTGCAAATCCCTTTCCATCTGGTTACGGTATGAAGCTAATGATAATTATACTTGCAAACCTTTCCGTAATAGAAGTCAGGTAGTGTGTTGTAGTGGGGGGGTGACCCTGGCAACATGTTGAATATGAGATGATTTGAACCACCAGACCAACTGAAACAGTATTGGTTAACAGATAATAACACTGTATTAAAGAGGCTAAATTAATAAAACGACCCAGCACGGAAAATGCAATTTAGCCCTTATATACGTACATATATACTGCCACATTCTCTTTAATTGCATGGATGATTTGTGGCTGTCCACCACAATTGACTCGTCTTCCCATCAGTAATGGAACGTGTACACAGACAGACTTAGAAAACAGTGTGCATAAGGTGTTCTATTGGTGGGTGTAACCCTATCATCTCCTGTAATTACTAAGTATTGCAGTTGTCACTCACTGAGGTAAGGAGTGGAGTATCAATGACAGGTCTCCCTCGTCCACCATATCTTGACTCATGGTGTCAACCGCTGGAATAAACACACACGCTCTAGACGCATTACCCTGATGGTACGGACTACCCTTCACAGCTCCAACCAACTCCTGATACTCGACCGACGAGAACAAACGACACTTCTCTCCTTGTTTCTTCAAAGACGAAATCGGCTTCGGGGTACATGAAGACTCCTATCTTATCTCCATTCGCGACTGAGCAATTGTTAATCTCGAAACAAGTGTGGAAACGACAGGTAGCCCTTTGCGTCCCAGTGGCTCTGAAGCTCTGTATCGGGGATAGAGCTATGCACTGCGTGCCTGTGTAGCACGTGACTTTTCTCTGTGATGGTTGTTTGAGACGTGAGGAGGAGCTGGAGTGTGAGGTATGTGGGCATGAACAATGTCCCTACTACTGCTAGTAGAAGAATGCATCTGAGAGTTCGTTTTGAGAGGAGAGAGCTGGAGGGGAGGGGCATCTCGAGATCTGGAAGAGGAGAGACGAGCGCTCTGCTTAGGTAAACTTATGTCTCTCTGACAGGACCATTAATTCACTTGGAAACTCCCCAACCAAAGAAATCATATCTGCGTAGTTCTTACATGTAGTGAACGTACCATGCAACGTATTAAACCATCGACTCGGCTGAAAAACAGAGACAGTAGCGCTTTGCCACACCTGTGCACTGATGAAGTTTACCACTGCAGTTCAATTTTCTTTACCCGTCACGTATAATTAGAGCCAAAACTGCAATTATGGCAGGTAGAGTGATATAGAAAGAACTGGGACGACGGTGTGTACAGTGAGGGAGAATGTCGGGAAGGATAAATGGTATTTAGCGGAGAGAGCACCGTTCCTGCTCAATTACTGGCCGTACATCTTGGGAGGAGTGCTCAGTTTGGCTCTGGCCGGCGTCTTGGCGTACTTTCTCGCTCCGCCAGCACCTGAGCAACGGGCTGACGACAAGAACAAGCCCAAGGAGTCTGCAAAGGGAGAAAGAGAAGGAGAGAAGAAAAAGAAGAAAGCGGAGAAGGACCCCAAGGCGATAGTGAGTATAGACAAAGGCGAACACCCGCTGGAAGAATTCGACGACGAGCGCCCGGACCCGGCACTAGCTCCGCCCCAACATGACGCTAACCTTCCCCACGTCCCTACCCCTTCACGAGGGTCTCCGAGGAAGAAATGAAGGGGAGGGCCGCGGCCTTTTACCAGCAGATGGACACTCGACGCTCCGTTAGGCACTTCAGTTCGGACCCAGTCCCCCAGGAAGCGATAGAGAACATCGTGCTGGCTTCGGGGACTTCCCCCTCTGGAGCGCACTCTGAACCCTGGACCTTTGTGGTGGTGAAAGACGCGGAAATCAAGAAGAGGGTGCGAGAGATTGTGGAGCAGGAAGAGTATCTCAACTACGATCGACGGATGGGCGACAGATGGGTCCGAGATATAAAGTTCGTTCCAGACCACTCACGAGAAACCGTACCTCGAAACGGCTCCGTATCTGATTGTGGTGTTCAAACAGGCGTACCATGTCGGGGGGGACGGGACGCGATACGCTCACTACTACTTTGAGATCAGCACGGCCATTGCCTGCGGGATGTTGGTTGCTGCCATCCACAATGCTGGACTGGTCACTGTCACCACCACACCTCTCAATGCTGGTAAAACTTTAACGATATATTGAATTTAGAGGGAATTTGGCAGTATATAAGGGCTAAATTTAGAGATGTTACTAAAGATAGAACTAAACAAACTGGCCCAGTCCTTTTTGCTCATTCAATCTACAGAAAAAACCACGGTTTCATTATGCAGTGTAATGCCTATATATATATATAGTAGGACAAGAGAAGGTGTCCATATTTCGTTCCTTATGAATGGGGGAAAGTGTCCTTATTAGAGATGCCTCCTAATTTCAGGGGTGTCCTACGAGAGTGGTTCCATTGTAAACCAATTAAAGCCATCATGGTATGATCTTCTATTTCCTATGTCGACAGGAGTGGCCTTGAGGGAGCTACTGGGGAGACCAGACAATGAAAAAGTCATGCTCTTGCTTCCCGTTGGCTACCCTGCCCATGATGCAACTGTCCTGGATCTGAAGAGGAAGACCCTTGATCAAATCATGATCACGAAGTGATTCTGATAACCAACTTTGATGACCAACTTGATCTTGACTATATATGCACGCATTAATTATGATGTACAGGTTAATTCTGATATAAACTGAACGTTTCTATAATGTAGTGTGTCGTTTATTGGTAACTGACTCAAATCTTCAAACATTATTTTGTATATATGCTTGTCTACAAACTGTAAATCCATGACATTCTATACATCTTTTGACATTAAAAATGCAGTGACTGTGACTGAGTGCGTCGTGCTACAAGTAATCTTCTCTGCTGTAATTTCCAAACATGTCTGGAAATTCAAACGTCCCTCCATCCTATATACATGAGTAAACCACATTCACTTAAACACAAACTTTAAAAACAATAACTTGATACAGTGCATGTTGATTTCGTTAACATTATTCACCAAAAGGGGCTCTCCCAATAAAGGATACTTAGTTCTGCCCCCATATTAACACATTTGTCATTAATTTTTGTGCATGACATAAGAGACAGCTCAGATAGAGGATACTTCCAAAGACACTATATTATTATACAAATTTGAAGGGGTCAGAGCCAGAGTGAGCCAACCCTCAATATACAACTCTTGCCCATTTTTGTTCTATATTATATAAGGACATTTAGAACAAAACCGGCAAGAGTTGTATATTGAGGGTTGGCTCACTCTGACTCGACCCCTTCAATTAGTATAGGTGTTCCTTTTCCCAGAGGTTTCAGTCTGTTATGTGGTGCTCACCAGTATGACATAGGCAATCTTAGTGTCTGCCTGCTTCTTTAGTACATTCCCTGGCCCTCTCTTCTCCTTTCCTGCACAAGAAAGAATCCTTGCTGTTTTCATGAGAGAGAAAAAATATAGCACAGCGAAAAACCAATACAGCCTTTCCTTTAAAAAACTATACTAAGCTACATTTTTTTCCTCGTGAGAAAAAGCGAGGGGGTGGAAAGTGAAAAAGACTAATGAAGACAGGCCTCCCAGGTCGACTGAGCTGCGCTGTGAACGTTACCGAGTTGTATTCTTGTGTTGACTTTGGAGACATTGACGCTGTAGATTTTCTCAAAGTAGTTCCTAATGTCAAGTTTCGTCATCCTGTGACGAATGTATACACACACACAATCGCCAAACTCTCAAGAGTTAGGTTGCCAAGACTTACTGCATGGGAACGTGACACTGCACGTGATTGTTGGGCAGCTCATTGCCCGGTTTTACCAGTTTCACGTACCAGTTGCACAGGTATATTCTCTGTCGCGGGAAGGATAGCGCTGCAGACGACACTTTCCTCGCTGCTGTAGCCATTGCTCCAATTATCGCACACCACACACGTGAGGTCAAGGTACAAAATGACCGCATTCCGTACAACAAGCCGTATGGGAACGGAAAACAGTGAAAAGGGGCGTAGCTAAAATTGCAAGCTGACTTGACAAAAACGTGCCAAAGCGAGAACAAACACGTCTGTCTTTTTACAAGAGGCCTTTGTGTATAAAAGAGCCCTTGGACAAAAACAAAGATACAAGAAACCCAAGAAGGCTCGCTCGGATCCCTATTTAGATCTAGCTGCGCGAGAAACGGCATGAGAATGTCAGGGACCCAACTGAGTGTGAGTCAGGGGGGAGAAGCGGGAGTGACGGCGCTACTGGACCTGTCGGACGACTGCGAGATCGGCGAGCAGGAGAAGACGACCACGGCCGCCGTGTTCCTCGGTTGCGTCAGCGCCTCAGCCAAGTCCGACACGAGGTAAGGAGCACATAATAGCTAGCTCTGACACGCTGAATACTCGGCTGAATAGGTAGAAGTGTGGATGCAAAGGAGCCTTAGAAATGTGCATGAAACCTATTATAGTAGTATACCTACGTATTTCCAAGTGGGAGTGCGAGCTACACTTCCGAGATGTGTTTACTCCTGACAAATTTGGCAGATTGAGTTTACCATATGCAATTGATCACTATCCTCAATATGTTGTTACTCATACACATGCAGGCTGACTGAAGAGCAATCCGAGTCGATGCACATCGAGCCAACTTCCAAATCAACTGAGGTCCTTCGCGGGACAGACATCGGGAATCGGGTCGTCCAGTACGGCGATGAGTGGGAGAGAATTCGTCAGACTCTCACCGACGATCAAGAGTTTCGAGATTTCGTTGACAATGCCGTCAGAGCGACAGACGGTAGACGAGCGTCTGAAACGGCATTTGAGACTTTTACTACCATTGCCAACCAGGTGCTGGAGGTCGGAGCCTCAGGAGTAGGTCAGTGAATTCAAAGAGATTAGATTATAATGTACCGGCATTTTCCCTGAATGCATAGTGAGTGCTACCGTACTTAGAGATGCTATCGACTATTGGGTATAAATTACGAACCCTTCAAAAGTTGGAAGCTGAGAAAATTGACAAGCGTGTCATTTTCTCTTACTTAGCTATATATCCCCTTTTACAAAGTTTACCCCTAGAGTTCTCTTCTAGAACTACAGTCTATAGGGAACAATTGGCCCATAACTGCATGTTCAGCATTGCAGCGTGTAGCGTAAACAAAAAGATCAGTGGGGCGTGTTACTGCGGTTGGGTAGTGCCTAATGAACACACAGGAAACTAGGTCATGTTCCTAGCTAGTGAATACCACTTCAATGGGGCAATATACCTCCTTGCTTACTTCCATATGCATGTATGTAGATTTCCGTAAACAGCAGTTATTCATACTATGCAGTTTCATGCATTAAACCAAGCAGTAGACGGCCGTGCACAGTAGCTATTCATTATGTGTAGTTTCATAACCCCAATGCAGATTGCCCATGTGTATTACGTATTTACAAAGCAGATAGTGCTCTGGGCTGTTTGGCTTTGAACAGAAAGTGACAGCACAAAAAGGGTGGAGCCCCTGGGGCTGCACCAGTCCAGTGTTTGTTCATCTCATGAGATGGTGATGCGTGTGCATAAACAGCCCATTGATTGCATCAGAGCATTGCGAAATTGAGGCATAAACATGTTTTTCACCGGTGTGTTTGTGTGAGTTGCTATGGTCCGGATAATTTCATAGGAGTATTCATTACACGTTGGGTCGTGTTTTCCCATGTTCGGAGCTATTAATGATCATACTATGCAAATTCCAATCTGTGATCATACTGAATGCCTTACGTGATCAATCATGCTCCTTTATCACCTTATCTCCCTATATAGATCTCTCACCCTTCCTCCTCTTCCACACACACAATCACGCGCACACACACGCACACTTTGCCCCCCTCCTTTATCTCTCTCATTCCTCCTCCTCTTCTCTTCTTCTTCCTCTTTTGTCCTCTTTCTCTCTCTCTCTCTCAGCCTCGGGTATATCGTACGGCAGAATAGCCACACTCTTTCTGCTGGGCTACGAGTTGTGCTCTGCCTTCATTCGAAGACACGGGGCAGCACTGTTCCTCAGTTTCATTGGCAGAATTCTCAATTACCTCATCAGATTTCTGAAAGACATTGGGTTCTTTGACTGGCTTGTCCGACACAGTTGGGTAAGTCGCAGCAAAAACTTCCTACACGCGCAGTCTGTAGTTAATAGTCTGTAGAAGTGTGACATGGTATATATAGCACGATGTGTGAACTACGTCCAAGTATGCAGGAGCCATGGAAATTGCTAACACACTTTTGCACAAGGTCGAAAAATAATTAATGCTTGATAAATACACAGGTGTCCTTTACACAGAGGTTAGTTAGACACACAGATATACATAAATGTGTTTTGGAAAGAGGAAACACTCACTGTCTCTAGAATGGGCTAAATTTACTAAAAGATAGGACTAAACAATAGGGTCCAGTACAAGAATGCAATTTTCAGGAACAGTTTCTAAATTTATACCGCCACGTTCCCTTCAATGATTAAAATTAATGCAGGGGCACCTCACTCCAGACACAGTGGCCTACGCCTCAGGGCTGGGCACAGGTATTGCTCTGGGAGCTCTACTAGTGGGGGTAGTGACACTGGCAGCTATCTGGTACGTCAGTCGCAGATCAAGATAGCAACCCTCACATCACTGCTCACCTCACCTCCAATTCTCCCTCCGTCTGCCCTCATGTATATATTTTATTGTCTACCACCATCAATGTATATACTGTCATGATTATTATTTCATAACTTGTCATAATTATTCATCTGATTGTCTGATCATGTATAATTATTATGGTTGTCCGACATTTATCATCTTGAGTTATCTCAATTCCTTCTTCATCTCTGACTGAGTGACTGGGCTAAGTTTCTGACGCGCATGCGCAGCAAAGAACCAACTGCGCATGCGTACACTGAAAGACGATACAATTAATTATGTAGCTAGCTACGTACGTACAGCGGGGTTTATGTGTAATCGATTTAATCATACACGCCAAGCGTCCGGCCCAGTAGGCGCATGCGCGTAGAAAATTCAAACTACAACCGCTACAACCCAGGGGCGTAGGAACAGGGGGGGGCTACGGGGGCCAGGGCCCCCCTTTTCTTTTGTTAGTTCGTACCTTGCCTGAGGGCGAACGCTGCCGCGCCACCAGCGACCGCTTTTATGCGCACGTATACACGTACATACGTACGTACATGTAGCCTCGCGGGCGGGAGGCGTGGCTCCGCATGCGCAGTTCGCCGAGGGTTTGCACTTTAGCGCTTTTCATTACAACATTACTAAAATTTTGTGGCCCCCCCCAATGCAAAACACTTTCCTACGCCCCTGCAACCGCCTTGTTTCCATCATCATGACGTCGTGTGAAACCGGCGTACAGCGACGACCTCCGCTGGAGAGTCGTTTGGCAGACGTTGGCTCTACAGTTACCAATCCACACCAATACCGCTCCAGTAATACGCATGCGCATCCCGCGCTTTTCGTTTTGCGGTTGGCAAGATCTCAGAAAATCGCTGTAGCTACCTCACGGGTCAACGCACGGCACATCTGGAGCATGCACTAATGGCCTTAGCTATAATACTCATATACTCATGGTAATTATCCGCTCTCTCATGCCCCCGCAGCGTTCCATACGGGAGGTCGCCCAATCATCTTGAAAGTCTCCGCAAAACGGAACTGCTGTGTTGTTTGAAGCCTGGTATGGTTTCAGGGGAAAACCAGTTTCTTAGTGCATTTTTTTCACTAGGTATGCAACACTCATTCAAGTGTATGCCATGCAGATTGAAAACGGCAACTTACAAGTCTGTTCGCGTTCACCTTGGCGCCGGAAGTGCACCAGTCACTTGCTCGCGCTGTGCTACGCGCGCATACGCGTAAGCGCGCACATTTGCCCCGCGTGATTGCATTTTCGTGGTCAAAGGAACGTCGCGTACTAGACTTTGCTTATGGCTAAGTACGTAAGTGGGCGTTGGACGCGCTCGTAAAGCAGATAAATAGAACCTACGCTCAACTACAACCACGCTGCGCTCGGTCGCTGTTTACGGCAGATTTCCTACCGGCAAGGTGAACGACGCGAATATAGACTTTTAGTAAGTATGCAGGGATCTCAGAAATGGCGACACCAACAGGTTCAGCGCTACACTGGCTTCATTTTAAAAATGGCGATTTTCGTAAAAGTACCCCCGCTCGAAAGTTATGGCGTGAAAAAGCCAATATGCTAATTAGTACCATTTGTGGACATTTACGCTAATTTGGAACGTAGTCACCTCGGCTCCGCATCTAACCTATATATGTCTGATAAAGCCGCGTGAGATGCCGTGTTGTTGTAGGTGCAATAGGACTGGCTCCTGTAAGGGGTGCGCCTGTGTAAAGGCCGGAAGACCCTGCACAAACTGCCTCCCTAGCAAGCTGGGAACCTGTGTGAACAGCTCTTCTAACAGCTCCCGCTCTCAACCGCCGTCAACCGTGTCGACTCCATTTAACGCCCCCCAACTACCGACCTGGAAGTAACCGCTGCCTCCAATACTGCCGTCCAACCAACAGATACAGACAACGAATGCAGCACACAACTACCACCACCTGAAACGGTGAGTAGACCAGCGTTCACGTGGGGAAATCATAGTGCTATTGATTTTTCCAACATTTTGGAAGCTACCTACTCCGAAGTAGTTCACTGGAAACGTAACTCCTTCACAGTGCCATTTGGCAAAGCGGGGAGAGAATTTGTCAGCGAACTATCAAGGCTTTTTCAAGCCTTCGCCTCTGCCACGGCTCTTGAGTCAATAGCACTTAAGGCTGCCACTGTCCTCCCAATCCTGCTCTTGCAAAAACCACAAAAAGCCTCCAAAGCTAAGGACCACGCCAGCTCTCTTGAGAGGAGACTTAGATCCTGGAGAGAAGGCAATCTGAATGACCTACTACTAGAGGGCAGAGCAATTCAAGGCAGGCTGCCGAAAACTTTCACACCAAAATCTAAAGAGAAAATCGCCCGGTCTTTCGCCGACTTGATGTTTGCAGGGAAATGCAAGGCTGCCCTGGATCTCCTCTCCAACACTGGCGAAGGTGGCATTTTACACCTAGACGACCACATAGATCCAACTACCGACTCTCCTAATGTCCGGGAGGTGCTGCTCAGTAAGCATCCAACAGGCCAGACTGCCAATTCCAACTGCATCCTTCAATCTCCCCCTCAGGAGGCACATCCTGTGATCTTCGAGTCGATCGATGCCAGTGTCATTCGCTCAGCTGCGATGAACATCACTGGGTCTGCCGGACCATCTGGTATAGATGCACATGGGTGGAGGAGACTATGTACATCTTTCAAAGGGGCTTCAAGTGAACTATGCCACTCATTAGCCCTAGTCGCAAGAAGAATATGCACCTCATATGTCGACCCAAAATCGATATCACCTCTTCTGGCCTGCCGGCTCATTGCCCTAAACAAGAACCCTGGTGTCCGACCAATAGGCATTGGGGATACTGTGCGGCGGATCTTAGCCAAAGCAGTGCTGTCAGTAATGAAACCTGACATCCAGGAAGCCTCGGGCTGTCTCCAGATGTGTGGAGGACAGATTTCTGGCATCGAAGCAGCAGTGCATGCCGTGAGAACCGCCTTTGACTCCAGTGACACTGAAGCAGTCCTCCTGGTTGACGCCACCAACGCATTCAATTCCTTGAACGTCAGGTTGCTCTTCATAACATCAGAAGGCTCTGTCCACCACTCGCACCCATACTCATCAACACATACAGAGCATCAACAGAACTGTTCGTGGATGGCGACACTCTACTTTCCCAAGAAGGTACGACACAAGGGGACCCACTAGCCATGCCCATGTATGCCCTCGCCACCATCCCTCTTATCAAAAAACTGAAGGGCAACTGCAAGCAGATCTGGTATGCAGACGATGTAAGACGCCGTAGGAAAGCTAGCAGACCTGCGTGTGGTGGTGGGACCTTTTGACACAGAGAAGGACCTGACTTCGGCTACTTTCCAATCCATCCAAGACTGGGTAGTAACAAAGGAAGGCTGTCACACTACTGGGCTCTCTACCTTTGCTGGCCCAGGTGAATGTTACATCCATGGCAGACCATATCTAGGTGCAGCAGTTGGCTCAGCCGAGTACGTGGAGAGTTATGTAAGTCGAGGGTTGACTCCTGCTATCCATGGTGCGCACCTAACAACATAGCAAAGACTCAACCACATGCAGCTACTCGGCTCTCACACATGGTCTCTCAGCAAGTGGACCTACCTATGTCGCACAGTCCAATATCAGCAACCTACTAAAGCCGCTCGATACATCTTGCGTACCGAACTCATCCAACACTGTACAGGAAGGGCCCCCACCTAGTGACCTGGAGTGTGCCATGTTGCCCTGCCAGCAAGAATGGGTGGACTGGGAATAACAATCCTTCCACTAAGCCGACCAGGACATCAGTCATCCTTACTGTTACCTCTGCCCTCAAGACCACATCACACTACAAGATGAGGCCTACGGTATAAGTCATTGCCCAGCATTGGAATCCAAGGCATTGTTAGAAATAGAAACAAGAAATCGTTCAAAGCCGCCGGCGTGTGCGAACTTTTACCAGAAACCTGCAGAGGTCGTTTGTGAGAACTAGCAACGCGAGAAAGGATCCCCATTGGCTCATGTACCGGCCACTTTCAGA